CAGTACCTAAGTAACCGTTTTCCATCACTAAACAGCAGATCCTCCTGACTATAGGGCTTTCCCCGTCTGCTGTTCATCACACGAAAGTGTGTTGAAAAAATAAAGAAAGTGGTTAGGGGTTCCGCAGCAGAGGTTACTTGAAGCGCTTGGTCGTGTCGGAGCATTTCGCGAGGTACCAGGGAAGGGTGATCAGCCCTAACTCAAGACACTCGCTACTAACCGTACCGAGCCTTTCCCTCGCTAACCTTTTGTCCATGCGTACATACGTATGAGCGTTAACTTCAATGTTGGATTGCAGAATGAGCAATTCTGATTTGAGTCGGTTTCCAATTTAGGTAATTTCATTTCTTGTGCCAGATTCTGGTGCTTGGTTGGTGCAAACTGTGATCTGCGCAAAGCTGGAGTAGGCGTTCTCCTTTGTCCGCCCTTTTTGATTCACCCAGGGGGACCACTTGACCATTGAAATCTCCGGTGACTACGATTTCCGTTGATCGAATTGCGAAAGGTCCTTGTAGAATTCATTCTTGTTATAGGTGTACTGCAGTCGGTTGGTGCATACACTGATCTGCCGAATAAGCATTGATGCTTGGTTCTGTAGCTATTGACCCGTACTAAACCGGTTAGACGTTCAGCGCACACTCGGATACCGACTGGTATCCAGTCAAGAAGCGAGTGTTTCGAGGGTCACTGCGAATGGCGGTTCGTTTGTGTTCAGTCCTCTTCCTGAAGTTTAACTCTACATTTGTGTATTCAATAAACGAAAAGGTAAATATGAACATTTGTTTCAGAGACCTGGAGAAAGTTGCAATGTATGCTGGACTTGGAAGTTCGTACATCAAAACTAGAGGAGTCGTTTCACCTTTAGAATGGCATCAACCCGTGTTTGTTCCTTCGTCTAGTTGCATATTTCCACCTTGATTTTCTGTCCCCTTCATATCACACTTTCTACTCCAATGACCGTGTTTCCTTAACCTGATTGCAGCGCGCTGGCTGCTGACAGCTTTTTCCGTTCATTAGTGTGACCTCGCCAAAGTAATAAATATACTTTGAAATAGATACATAAAAATTGAAAATTATGACTTCAAGCCAACTGCTGCGTTAATTCCACCTAGGCAACTTTCCGCTAACTGTTTTCCGTTCTTTACAAGTTTTTGTAATCGATTTTCTGTACATTTTTGTTGAATTCTGTGTAGTTTTTTTCGGTGACTTGGATATTTTTACCATATAATTTGCAACGGAATCTGCAGGATTGGAGACAATGTTTTTCTGTAGCATATTGATTGTGAGAATGCCTATAACAACTTTCTTTGCAAGCAGAAAATTCCTCGGGCCACGTGAAAACGCAAAACCATCTCGCTGCCTTGGAGTGTTTGGACTTTCTTTGCATACTCACGAGAGGGATCTTTACGATATCTTTTCTCGCTATGGACCAATTGACGATGTTCAGTTAGTGTACGACAATTACACCGGTAAGGTGCATTTACAAGGTTATCTTATCACTAGGCCGTTCTCGCGGCTTTGGCTTTGTTTATTTTAATCACGTGGCGGATGCAAAGGCTGCGAAGAATGATGCACATGGCATGGAAGTTGATGGAAGACCCATACGATGTGACTTCAGCATCACTGACCGACCCCACTCACCCACTCCAGGAATTTATATGGGTAGACCCACAAGGTTAGTTCCACTTTTGTGACGTGAAAACATTGCTGTGATATACACTAGTTGGCAAACAATTTCCATTGGTTAATTTATGAAGATAACGTGCACCTCACCTCAGATTTCGCACACCGTGTTAGTGCCTCAAAATCATTCTTTTCCTTTTTGTAATGCGATGGGCGGTGGTGGCCCTGTGGTAACGTCATCAAATTATCACATCGGAGGATGAGCGTTCGAATCCCACCACCATCGCCGTGTGTTATATGGCAACCATTTGATTGGCGGCTTCCCCCTTGCTGAATATTACGTCATTGTGTATTCAATAAAAGGAAGTAAAATGAAAAAAAAGAAAAGCTACAGTAAAACGAACTTCGCTGATCACTCAAGTGCAAAGTGAGGCGTGAATCTGTAGGGTGGTCGGTTAATAATTTAGTCGATAAAAGCATCATTTTCATCTATTGGTCCAAGGTGTCAGTTTATCTGAGCCCTGAATATTCCAATTTTCCTGGTCGTGACACTTATAGAAGTTTTCTTTGGCTCGTATAATTGTGATATTTGTTTTTCTGTTATACGTTCCTTATTGTTTGGAGTCGGTTACCCGTTCTTGGTGCGTTTAATACACTCGTTCTGTTGAATATTTTCGAAAGCTTACGCTCCCGAGTTTATACGCAGTTTTGTTTGGAGGCTGTTTTAATCGCCTATATGTGCGCAGCGTTGTATGTATTCCTTCCGAAAGAAAGTATGGTTGCGTCCTAATTTTTCAGGCGCGGCGGTCCACGCAGACGTAGTATTTCTCCCCGAGNGTTCAAGGTCTCGCTCTCGCAGCTACGATCGTAAGTGAGGACATCGTCAAGTATCAAGGGCAGCCTACTGATGCGTTCCTTCTGCTGTATTGTAATAAACTTGTTCAAAAGTCCAGTTTTTACCGAGTGCATTTCTATTTAGCAGTGCCGCTGCACACTAACTTTTCCGCCCCCATTTCGGTCAGTTTGTCATCTTGTATAATGCAAAAATATATCGCACTCTTCAACTGATGATTGCTATTTTTCCTTTCCAGTCTTAGAACGTGTCAACTAAGAACATAGAACTCATCCACTAAGAAAACCGAATATCAGAAGATTTACCAGAAACGCGCCGAAAAGAAGTTAGAGCACGACGGAAATGCGACGAAATCTGTCGAAGTGAACGGCGCTTGATCGGAGAATGAAACGTTCGTGGCGCAACCATGAGAAATGAATTCAGGAAGGCAGTTTATTATTCCAATTGGTTGACCACCATTAGGTGTCCTCAGGAGAACCGAACTGAGCAAACATGGCAAACTATGAACACTACTGATGAACTACAACTCTCGAAACACGTGCCGCTTCATCCACCTAGTTATTTGGCTGTTGAATTGTACGGAATCGCTTAATTGCATTTGTTCGATGCTGAATGGAACATGCAGAATATACAGAAGCGGATGGGTTTCGTGGTGAGTGCTCGTAGGCGTGTGCTTATACTAGTGTAAGAACTATTTTCTGTTTCTTAGTTGAGGTATATCAATTACGGAAGTAGTAAACGCATGTTTACCAAGGTTGACTGTCACTTGACTCACGCGGGTTAACACAACTATCCGTTGATGTGGTTCTCATCCAAAGCCCTAGTGCTTACGCACAGATGCGGTACTACTGTCATTTTGTTTCGAATGTTGACTAACTCCACTGTATAAATTGGTTGCCTGGTACTGATGATCTTATTTCAAAAGGGGCTTGCGTTGATGGTCACTGGTTTGTGAATTTGCAAACGAAGGCTAACAAAGTTCACCGGCTGAAGGTGAAAACGAACTTGATATCCTCATGAAATGGTGATGGATTTCTCCTATCGGTGATTCGGCTTTAGTATGGAGAGTTTCCAATTAGTACACAGCTGTGCCGTTCCACGTACGCTCGTTAATAACAAAAAGCAAGGCACTTTAAACCATGACATGCATAACTTGGATTTTTCCTTTGTGTTTTACCGGTCTGTCATCGCGATAGTGGTATGAATGCCTTCAGTGTTACTTCCGGACGTCGGTTCAGTTCAGTTCAGTTTGTGTAACCATTTATCATGTAATATCGTGGTTCCCGTCGGCGTTGAAGGATGGAGGCTCAGCGTTAGTCTTGAAGTTGACGAAACTCTTGTGCTCGATATGGGAAAGGGAAGAAGTTCTAACTGAATGGTGTGAATCAGTGATCATACCGGTTTATAAGAAAGGCGTCAGGTCATCTTGTGAAAACCACAGGAATGGGTTGATTCAGCATTGCTTCTAAACTTCTCGCGGGCGTCATACTCTGCCGATTGTCTGCCGCATGTGAACAATGCACGCGTGAGAACCAGGCTGGTTTTGAAACTGGCCGAGCTTGTATCGATCACATCTTCACTCTTCGTCGAATTCTAGAACACAGACACTTTTTTCGTAGACCTATCATCTCTAGTTTCCTCGATTTGAAAGCGGCTTTCGACTCAGTCGCCTGCTCTAAACTCTTGTGCTGCCTTTCCCTGAAGTGCGCCCGAGAAGTTAATTCCAGTATTACGATCGCTTTATACTAATAGCCAGAGTCGAGGTAGCGTGAGGTCGAGGTTGGGTCAAGAGAACGCGGGGACATGATTGAAATAGGGTATTGTATGTGTGTTTTGGAGACAACTTACATTTACATTGGAAGTTTAAATGGTTCTATCCAAGGCAGCTTGCTGACCAAGCTGACAGAGCGTGCAGACATTAAATGCGTCTAAGTAAAGATAGAATTCTGGGTTCAAAAATACTGTAACTTCTGGCTGTTTAGCCTTGCGGTTAAAAAAATTGATTGATATTCGATGGGTGGCGTAAACATGAGGCGTCTCTGATTATTCGGGATTGAGGAGAAGAACTAGATCGGGTGACTAAGACTGAAGGACACGGCATACTTCGTGGTAGCCGACACCGACGAAAGGGTTTTTCTTGGGAATCCTAACTGGAGCCCTCGACTCAAACGTCTGACCCACAGTTCAGTGGGGCTTAAATCCAACGCGGGATCGTGAACGAAACACCCATGTGGGAGATTCTAAAGACCTGTCGCACAAGGCCTTTGATTTTTGATTAATTGCGTTGGTCGCTGGCGCGTTGATTATCGGTCCGCTTTTCGGGATCGGTCCTTAGCCTCATGGACCCAGTGAGACAAACGGAATGTGGACGGGACAGCACCTTATTGGCTGGGGGCTACGCAGCTTGGTCGGGCGGTAGCTGTCCAGTGAAGCGCGAATACTTTTCCTACCGTCGAGAGAAAGACCAGACGTCGGTG